AAACAACGCTGTCAACGAACTCTTGTTTTTAATTAACCTAAAAATCTACATTTGCTGCGAAATGTGAAGGCACTTCACCAACATACTAATGAATCTGCCACAGTTATACAGAAAGCGACAAAGGCCAAGCCTACGGCAAGCGAAACAGGTAGGCCTTACAAATGACCTGGGCTTGTATGGCAGGTGTACAAATAAGTATGTGACTACACATACATAAATAGATACATATGTATGTATGTAGTATGTGAAAACGTGCGCAACATTTTATACTTCAAAGCAACGCAATTTTTATCACCCCAATAAGCGAAGCGTTGTAGCGCAAATTTAAGGGGCATAGTATAATGAGCAAATGTTGCTCATACGCCGTGTTGAATTTAGCAAAATGAGCGCCAAGGCAACATCTTCAGCACCAGTGCGAGTATGTGCACCTATCTAAGGCGAATGCATATAGGCTTATGTATGTATACAACTGCTGGCATACATATACATACAGAATTTGTGCTCTAAGGGTTTGCTGTGCAGCCCTTGTTGTCGCAGGTTTCCACCCAATAGACCTCTTGGCTAAGGATACCAATTTTGAGATACCGGGTGAAAGAAAATTCCAAGAAACAATACTCTGTGTAAAGTGGCAAATGCGATGGGACGCAAATAGCAATGGGCGTTGGACCCACCGATTAATACCAAATCTCGAACCATGGTGAGGTAAATTTTCATATAACCCACTTGCTTACAGGTCACGGCTGCTTTAAGGCTTACCTCACACGCTTCAAGCTGGAAAACACTGATACATGTGATTTCTGCGCTGGAAGCGTTGCCGAAGACGTCCAACATGTATTCTTCTACTGCAATAAGTTCGCCAAAGAACGGATTTTTTTGAGAGATATCTTTAAAGTAGACCCAACTCATGAAAATATTGTTGCAAATATGCTTCAATCCCCTGAAAACTGGAATGCAGTTTCCAATATAGCAGCAAGAATCATGAACACACTCAGAAAAGCTGAACAAGACAGAAGAAGAACCTTTGTAAGTTAAACCAGTATCTTGACCCATATGGTGGATAAGGGGGGTGGTAGGAATTGACTATCAAATTGAAAACTCTAGAACCGACGAAATACTTGATGGTAGTACCGGGGGGAAATGCGGTACAGGACGCTAGGAGGTTTAGTTCGGGTTAAAGTCCCACGCTGACGGGCTACACAGGCTTTCGATGCTGCCTCGTTGAAAAAAAAAATATACAACTGCTTATAAATATGTATAATTGCCTTAGTATTTACGTAGATTTTTTCTCTCATATGTAGATACTATGTAGGTTGGCAATTATGTTTGTTTTCAGGAACACACATTTTTTATTTTTGGTTTTTCTTGATTTATTTGGGTACATCTGCGTGCCGCACTCAATCGCGGCAAATCAGCACCAGGAAAGTCAAATTAATCAGTCAGTTCCTGTTATATCTTTCTCTCTTTTGTTGTGCTAGTCGTTGGTATTTTTACGCTTTTTCCTGATTTTATTTTTATTCTTACGTTGTTTACACAACGAAACTATATAAATGTCACTTGGTTCACCTCTACTAGTGACATAAGCTAAAAGCAACCAAAGCGAAGAGGAAAAATAAAAATCAGCAATAAAAATAAATCGTTAAAAAAAAA